AAGATACAATAAGCTTACAAGGATATAAAAATAATCAATTACCAGTAGACAATCCTGATGAAACGGCAGGTTATAATAGTGGAAAGCAACTGAATGATTGAAGAACATAACTGTGTAAAGGCTCCACATACTACCAGTTGTCACTGAACTTGGCAATTCAACAGGATTTGTTGGACCAGTAAAATTTATTAATTGCTAATCTCTTATAACAGTTAGTTGCTTCTATACATATTTACTTGGGAATCTATCCTGTCAAACACAACGAGACTTTTGAGTAGGTGCTATTTATCTGGTTCTTGAGAGTAAAGCCCATTAAACGGGCTACAGACCTAGAATCATAGAACCACAGGTTTGGAAGAGACTTTGGAGGTCTTTGTGTACAATTTCCTGCCCAGGACAGGAATCCTCAGACTATCCCAGACAGACAGTCCAATCTTTGCTTAAAAACCTCCAATGAGTATCCACAACTCAGGAGGTCAGCCATTTCAATAAGTAATAGCTGATGGTCAGAACATTACTCATCTTGTTTAGATCTCTCTCTTTAATCTTTGGTTCTTGTCTTATCCTGGGGCACAATGGAGAGTAAATCCGCATCCTCTTCCCTGTAACATTTTTTTATGTACTAGAAGACTTTTATCACACATTCCTTATCCTTCTCTTCTTTAGAGATTTTTTCCATTGTTTTCCATAGGATTTAATATCCTGGTCTTTCAGCCTCTTCATTGCTCTTCTTTGCACTGTTTCCTCAGCGTCATTTGTGTATTATGATGACCAACACTAGATGCAGTATTCCAGGTGTGGTCTGACTAGTGTAACATAAATTGGAACTGTGTTGTCCACAATACAACACTGTTAATGCAATACAAAAATGCATTGGTTCTTTTTGAAGCTGCAGAATGCTTAATTTGTGGTCTATCAGGACACCCAGATCTTCTTCACAGGGACCAGTGTTGAACCACGTACCACCTTTTGTACTTAGACACAGTTTTTCTACCAAATGGCAGTGTCAGGTTCCGAAGGGTTAAGAGAAACAGCCAAATACAGAGAGTTTAAACATGCAGCTTCTCCGCACCAACAAAGCACTAAGGCAATGAATAAATTGTCAGAGCTGACATCCGGTGCTCCCCACCACCTTTTATACTTTTTTTGCTATTTAGGCTAAACCCCATCACCCACCCACTCCACCCGCACACCTATCACCTTGTGACCCAGTGTGAAAACCACCCGGCAATCAGTCATGGCTTGTTCTCAGTCAGTTATCAGTTATGGAGAGTTCTCAGCTGGATTGCTTGTGGAGGAGGAAAATCTCCAGCTGGTAAGAATGATTCCTGGCAGCTCCCACAGCTTCCCCCACCCGAATTACAGCTCCAGGCCTATGAGTTCGCTGGAGCTGACAGGCAGATTCCTACATTTCTTGCCACTGAACCACATTTTATTGGTAAAGACCCAATATGCAAATTGATCAAGATCCTCCTGAACCTTAATTCTATCTCTAAAGGTGTTAACAATCCCCTTCCAATGGCTTTATGTCATTTCCAAGTTCGCTGAGCATACCTCATATCCCTTTGTTTAAATCATTTATAAAAATTTGAACAGCACTGGCCTCAGACTGTTAAGTGTCCTACTGCATACCTCACTCCATTTATAAATAAATCCATCAAAAATCATGAATTTCTGTTCAACCAAACTGTGACCCTCCATCACATATTGCTCCATTTTATCAAAAGGGAGTGATGGTTACCTTTCTCAACTAGCTTACTACATTCTAGCTACACAATATCTACAGTATTCTCTTGATCCGGTCACTTAAATTTTAAAAAGCAATAGGACTAGTATGGCACAATCTAGTTTTAATAAACCCATACTGGCTTCTACTACACCTTGTTCCTTTTTATCTGCTTGCCAACCCACTATTAGATATTCTTTTTTAGGATTTTCCAGACTGGTTTCAAGCGGATTGGTCTGTAGTTTCTTACATCTACTTCCCCCCACCCTTGTATACATAGTGGTTCTGACACCACATCTCCTGGTTTTCTTTAGTACCCTGGCATGTAATTTACCTGTCCTGACATCTTGAATTCAAAGCCGATATTTTCTCACTACTTCTTTTCCCACGTTGTCCAGTATTTCTCTTCTGATCTCCAAGTTAGTTAGTTTTTTTTTTGTCTCCAGTCTCTTAGAGAATCCCATCAACTGCGGAACAGAGAAAAAGCCTTGCCATAGAATATAAAGGGAATTTAAGATAAATACACAAAGGATTGCCCTGCAAAGATACAACTCATCACTAACACAGAAGGGCTTACATCTTATATTCATAGACAGCAAAATCAAAATATTTATCTTCTCATATAATTTTAGAATCTGTAATATGATTTATCAGGAGCATTGGCAACAGAAAGCAGTACACACAAATCAGTTTTATCATTATAACTGTGAGCTCCTTGACGAGGGGAAGCTAGGTTTCCCACTTACTGAGAGCAGTTCAGACAGCCAATTCTTAATGTACCATTTTAACATCTCATCTTCCATTTATGAAAAGCATCAGTCAGTAAATGGGAATGCCTGAAAAATTATGTGAATTGAATAAGCTATATGGTACTATCAATAGCACCTTCACTGCTTCCATGTCCTTTCTGATTTTTTTTTACATCTTTTAAATTAAAAATAATTAAATAGGAAGCTGGCAGAGCACAAACTGTCAGCCTGGGAGATGCATTCTGCCTCATTTTTGGAAAGAAGGGACTTGTGAACCCTTGAATTTATGTAAGCAACTCCTGGTAGATGTCTATGGAGATTTTCAGTCAATCTGAGGGATAACCCTGGTAGACTGCATAATCACATCCATTTTGTCTTCTTGCCAATGATATAGAATTACTTTTCAATGTGTTTTTTTTTTGGGGGGGGTCTTTTTTTTAAAAAAAAAAATCAATCTTATCTACAATGTTTATTTTCTGCAAGGTTTTTCATACACTATATACCAACCAGATTCAACCCTGCTTAACTGTCTGAGATTGCTAATTGCTATTAGCCACTGATGCTATCTAAAAGAACCTACCCATAAGGTTCAGTTCCCTGTGATTGAAGAAATGATGGAAAGGTCATTCTGATTCACTGAAATGATCTAGGGGTTTTGGACAATTTATATATCTTCGTTCCAGGAGGAATAAAAAGTAAAGGAAGACGTCAGTACTCGAGTTTCACTCCCCCTTTAAAAGTTCATCTCTTATACCAGCAATATCGAACAGATTTCTCCTCTGCCTTTCCCTTCCTATATGTAAGAATAGATGTATGTGTGTGTTTCTGTGTCTTATTTTTAATGTATTTTTTAATTGGTAATTTAACTACCTGTTCAACATGTACAGCAGATAATTTTTCTTTGATAAATAAGACTAAAACAACAAACAAAATAAGTTTCTCTTCTCTGCCCCATCTCCAGCTCCATTTCTAAGGAATCTTAAGATTCACATCTTATATTGTGAGATATGATAATAGGAAACCCACAGGTGTTCTATTAAATTCTGCATCAGTGTAAAATTTAAATATAAGAAACCAATAACATAACATGCAACAATGAACAAGATTTTTAAATGTTACTGGTGTGTGTTTTTGAAAAGCCCTGAAAACATGTAGTAAGGAGAGAGTAGTCCAGATATCTGTGGGTTGGGCTATTTCAGAGATGATGCCATCATGGTAAAGCCTTGAGCATACAGTCTTTTCCCAGTAACTGGAATCCCCACAAATTTGGGGTTCTCATGAAGGGGCCATTATATTCTCACAAATATTATATGTATAAGATACTAGAAAAATACCAATAGTTGATTTTCAATTAACTGTCTGTGTTTTGGCTTCTGTACTTTTACTTTTCCATTTCAATCTGCCTATCATCTCTGAAAGGTAAGTAGATGTTCAGAATAGCAGACGATCCAAGATCTTCTTGGTTGTGGTCCACTACTTCTGCTCACTGCTAATTTTCAATGTCAACTTCTACCTGTGACCATGCATGCAATAACTTCACACAACTTGTATTAGATTAAGATATAAGAGGACAAATGACCCTTGCAGCATCTTTTCCTGAATAGTAAAAGTAACATACAGGCAAGTCCCCATATTCTGAAAAAGAAAAAGCGTCCCAACCACAGGCAAAAGACAGTAGAATATCCATTAATCGGTTTCTGAGGGATTTCTAACTACCAGTTGTAACAGCAACCATGACTCCCCTTTTCATTTACCTTTGGTAAAACAAATCTCCATAAACTCAATTCTTGGTGACTTCAGGGACACAGCTGCACAGTATAATCTTCTTGACAGCAATATCAGCATGATTTGCCTCTGAAGGATGTTTCCCCAATTTTCCAATCTAGCCAAAAATGGTATTTATCTGAGACTTTCCCTTCCAATGACTAACCAGTTTTGCAGGGGAGCCTAGGGGTCCAAAAAGTCAAAATGGCGACGAAAACCATGTGATGGAAAGCCTCTCCTCTTTCTACATCCGCCCCTTTTTCATATGATTATGTGTCCACGAATCGTCCTTGACTCCTACCAATCACGTAACAGAATTTTCACAGGACGATCGACCTTCCGCGTGCCTCAGTTACAAAAAAAGCGGGGCTTCCATCGCATGATTCTCGCCGCCATCTTGACTTTTCTGACTCCCTTCCCCGCAGGTTTGACATCCCACGGAAAGTTCCCGGGTTCAAGTACCGCGAATTGACTTTGCCCCCCCCCTTCTAAAAAAGGTGTATAGGTGTGGCAAGCCTCTAGCCTACCCTCTTCTGTTGTGACACACACACACGCACCCCATTCCACACACCCAGGCAGCCCAATAAATGAAAAGCTGTTCCCTCCCGCTTCGCACCGACTGGGGAAGGGGCGGTGACGAAGGGAAAGGTGGGCAAAGGCAAACCATCCTTTCGCTTTTGCCTGGAATTGAGCGCTTTTCGTGCCGTTTGTCTCCAGTCTCTTCCCGTTTGCCGCTGCTGTTGCTGCTGCTGCTGACGCCGCTGCCAATACTGTACCCCTCTCCGCACCCGGCGGATGGACACGGCTGAGACGGCCTTCCTCGATTTTCCTCCCCGACCGCGGCCCGCCCACCTGCCAGCGCATCCTCGGAGCGCCTCTGGCATGGACCGCGCGCGGCGGTGGCGGCGGCGGGAGGCCGAAGCAGGTAAATGGGCGCGGGCCTTTCGTCAGGCAGCACCGGTGGCGCTCGGCCCGCCGTTCTGTCGAGGGGGAGGCCTACTCGTGGCGGCAGCGGCCTTAGGACGGGAGCGTGAAAATAAGATGCTGCTTCTCTTCGGCGAGAGCAAAGGCCGCTTAGGGGGTTGAGGCGCCCCGGTTTCCCTCCCGCTGTTGGGAAGAAGAGCAGCGTTCGTTTCCACGCCGCTTGGTTATAACAGGGCAAGGAAAGGCAGATGGGGATGGGGACCGCTTTCAGGTTGGGTTCCTGAAAAATAAATCCCTTTCTTTTGAATGGGTGTCTTATGAATTTTGCAAGATGTCTCAACTCTCCTTAGGTGTATTATTGGAATTGGGGTTGGGGGGGATATTTCTATTGTGAACTGTATGAGAAAACTTTCAAGTAACCAAAGGATTTTTATTTTTTTTTAAGTGGTAAAGGTAAAGGTTCCCCTTGCACATATGTTCTAGTCATTCCCAACTTTAGGGGGCTGTGCTCAGTCAGGCTGTCCCAAGACATCTCCATGGTCATGTGACTGGCATGACTAAACGCCAAGGGCGCAGGGAAGGCTGTTACCTTCCCACCAAAGGTGGTTCCTATTTTTCTACTTGCATTTTGTACATGCTTTCAAACTGCTAGGTTGGGACAAGTAACGGGAGCTCACTCTGGTACACAGCACTAGGGATTTGAACCACCAAACTGCCGACCTTTCTGTGTCCCCTTTAAAAAAAAGTAATAATGACATTTAAGTCAATCTGTGAGGTAGCAATTTAAAGTTATTTAATTTAGATATTATTTATCAGATGTCCAGCCCTTCCTTATCAATGGAGTCCGAATGGAGCAAGTGGCCAGTTTTAAGTTTCTGGGTGTTATCATAAAAGAGGACCTGACTTGGGGTGCTCACATTGCAGCACTGGTCAAAAGGGCCCCACAGAAATTATACTACCTGAGACTTCTCAGGAAACAACAATTGAATAAAAAACTGCTGGTGACTGTCTACCGCTGCACCATAGAGAGTATTTTAACTTATTGCACCTGGTTTGCCAATTACACAGTGGCAGATGGGATAGCACTCCAGAGGGTTAACTTCATTGCCCAGGGGATCATTGGTTGTCCTCTCCCCTCTTTGGAAGAGCTTTATAGCTTTCGCGCCTTAAGAAAGTTCAAAACATTGTTAAATATCCATCTCATCCTGGGCACCCTTTTTTGAACTATTACCATCTGGCAGATGGTACAGGATAATAAAAACAAGGACAAATAGGCTGAAAAACAGTTTCTATCCCAGGGCAGTAACTATATTGATTTCTACTGTATAGTGCAATATCAATGGTTTTCAGTTCAATTGTATAGAATGTGAAGGATGTTTGTTTGTGTTTTATTTTTATAGTTACAATGCACACTGAAGATGGCATTTAATTTTATTGTGCCACGTGACAATAAAGTAAAGTAAACTTTCAGGTTGGGGCTATAATGTCGAAGGAATGGCTTAAGGATGCCAACGTTTAAATGATTCATTTTGCTCTCTTAAAAAAAAAAAAAAAAAACCCCTCTCTTATTTTTATTTTAAAAAAAAAAAAAAAAAACAAAAACACAAATTCTTCACATTCTATCTAATTGAATTGA